AACATACTCCGTTTTCACAGCGACCCTGGTTATAGCAGTCTCCTGGACAGGTGAGGACAGAGCAGTCCAGCCCAGTAAAACCTTCATAACATAAACAGATACCGTCGACACAACGACCTCTGTCATGGCAGTTCTTAGGGCAAGTCTTCTCGCTGCAGTCTTCACCAGTAAAACCTTGATGGCAAACACACTGACCATCCACACATTGACCTCTGTCATGGCAGTTCTTAGGGCAAGTCTTCTCGCTGCAGTCTTCACCAGTAAAACCTTGATGGCAAACACACTGACCATCCACACATTGACCACGGTTCAGGCAGTCATTGGGGCAGGTTAGCTCGCTGCAGTCTTTTCCAGTGAAGCCCACAAAACAGACACACTTTCCATCAATACACTCTCCTCTTCCAAGGCAGTCTTTGGGGCATGTCTTGATACTGCAGTCTTCACCTGCAAAGCCCTTTTCACATACGCACTCCCCATCAACACAGCGGCCCTGGTCTTGGCAGTTGTTTGGGCAGGAAAGCTTGCTGCAGTCTTCTCCTTGGTACCCTATGTCACAAATGCATTCCCCATTGATGCACTGGCCCCTGTTGCTGCAGTTGTCAGGGCATGAGAGGACTGAGCAATCTTCACCTTCAAAGCCAGGATCACATATGCACTTCCCATTGGAGCAGTGGCCTCTCTCATTGCAGTCTTTGGGACAAGTAAGCTTTGAGCAGTCCTCTCCAGTGTAGCCAGCCTGGCACACACATTTGCCGCTCACGCATATTCCACGGTTGTTGCAGTTTCCAGGACAACTGAGCTCCCCGCAGTCCTCTCCAGTGAAGCCCTCATCACAAAGGCAAGTGCCGTTGATGCAGCGTCCGCGGTCATAGCAGTCGTTAGGACAGATGAGCTCAGAGCAGTCAAAACCTGTCCACGGTTCATCACAGACGCACTCGTCCTCCACACAGCGGCCCCGACCCAGGCAGTTGTTAAGGCAGTTGGTCTGAGAACAGTCCTCGCCGATGAAGCCTTCCTCACAGAGACAGGAGCCTTCAACACAGTGGCCATAATCGCCACAGTCCAGCAGGCAGAGCTCGATCCCGCAGTCATCCCCACCGAAGCCCTCGAAGCATTCGCATCGACCATCCACACAGCGACCCTGGTCCTGGCAATCATTGGGGCACTCAGACTCGGAGCAGTTGGGTCCTTTCCATCCAGGTTCACAGGAGCAGCTGCACGTGTCAATGCTCCAGTTTCCACGTCCGTTACAAAATGGCTTCGTTGACACCTCTCCTATAGAAAACAACACATTAAAAGGGAGATATTTTAAAGCTCATAATTACGTGAATTTTACAAATAAGACAGTTCTCTGTTGGGAAAAACCACAATCAAACCCTGGCTGAAAGAAACCAAGGTCCTATTCATCTCTGCTTGAATGCTTAGATATAAAACCTTTCTGCTTCCTCAGGTTTCTTTGGTTATAGATGACATAATTTAACATGCTGTTACTGAGGGAATGTTGCCAGCAGGGTAGCTAGAAGCGGCCAATGTCTTTCTCACCATCTGAATGCAGGTGTTAAAACATCATAGCTGTACACTCTATGTATGACGTTTCTGGTTGTTGGCAGGAGGACAGCCTCACTATGTCACATATAAGGTCAACTGTGATAAACAGATTCACAAAAACATTAAGAACCTCAACTAATACTAGTTTTATAAAATGAACTTTAAATACTTTACATTTGGACTTTGACTCCTGTTTTTTAGAATCTGCCGTCTACAGATGCTTCCTGCCAGTCATCCTGCTTTGCTAACTGACTGTTGACTAATTCCACAGAGCTCTCATAAACATCCGGATGGCTCCCATCGGAGAAGCTTGATCACCTGTAAAAACGGGATTTCTGTTTGGACTTGCAGCTTCGTCTTCCTTCCTTTTGCGTAATTTATTTTCCTACTCTACCATCACATCAGTTAACATTTTAACAAACTGTGGATTTTTTTGATTGAATGACAAACATTTTCATATTATTAAGGTACGAATGTATGGTTTTCATTTTAAAAAAAAAAATAATAAAACCCTGAAAAGACAACCTGAACTAACACTGAGGAAATTAAACAGCAAACAGCAGATGGGGCAGTGGGAGAGTTTAACAATAACCCAAGAATCATCATTTGATGAAGCTTTGATCAGTTGATCGTCTTAAAATGTAAAGGTTATGGTGCCGATCATCGAATCCAAATAAACAGCCACAGAGAGCAACAGTCGGAGCAGCAGGTGGGAGACCCCTGGTATCTTTAAAGGAGGGTTAGAAGTTTCCAGCTAAGGTGGCGGGATGACGACACATTCACGTGGCTGGCTGTAATGGAGGTCAGGCAAGAAGAGGACTTTCAGTAAGAAATCCCATCGAGCATCCTGTTGGCCAATCACTATAAGTAGCGAAGATCAATTAAAGATTTCCTGGAAAGATCAAACTTTTGTCTTTATGCAGAAAATAATCTTAAACATAACAAAACTGAGAGGTCATCAGGTATGGTTCCTCCTGGAGGCAACAGCTGGTTAGACCTGCTGCTACCAACCAGAGGAACAACAAATATGGGATGTCCAACTTTCCTGCAATCACACCGACCACGGTAAACGGTGAAGCATATGACTTCAAAGGATGTTAGTCTGCTGACAGAGAATAAGACACTTTCAGGACATTACGCCCCCACCGTTTAGGATAATTCTAGCACCCATCCACCTCCATCACTGGCAGAAGGTAGCAGCTCAACAGTTACCTGCGTTGCTCTGCAGGTAATGTGGCCAGTCTTTGATGCTGTTTGATGAGTTACTGTTGAAGGTGGGGGGTGATTGCCTAGGGTCATCTCAATGTGGAACAGTAATTTACTGTTTGAGGGATGTTTAAGATTCTTTTAAGAGAGAACACGTAGCTTTGATTGGTCTGCTGGGCATGGCAGCACGATCTTAAACAGTCAATGATCTAAACCATGCAAGGAGAATCAACTATAGTTCTGAACTCTCTGAATGCAAATACTTCAGCTGCTCTATATGAATGCAGACAGCTGCAGACTCACCTGTAACCTGAGCTGCACAGCAGCCGGCTCCACTGCTGCACTGCTCCCTCAGACTAGACAGCTCCGACTCCAGCATCTCCAGTCTGTTCAGGATGTCTTTGAGGTCTGGCAGCTGGTTGTCGCAGCCACATGCTTGTTTGGGGATATTGATACGGTGAGTGAAAACGATCTGGTTGTCGCCATCGACCGTGTGCTCCATGTGCTCAGTGCTCTGCATGTCCAGAGCGCCGCTCTTGTGTTTCATCCCGGTGCTGCCTGGTGAGTCGAGGTCCACAGAGCACAAGGAGGTGGAGGGGACGTTGATGTTGTAGACGTGGTTGAAGACCACAGGCTGCTCAGGATGGGGAAGAGTCAAGTTCTCCTGGGTTTTTTTAGGCATCAGGGTCTCCCTCCGGTGGCGGATGACCTTCTTGACAAGGCCAGCGCTGGAGAGCTGGAGGAGCACCACTGCAGTTATGCAGCTGAAGAGGAAACCTTTGGTTTCCATGACGACTACAACCACAGAGAAGGCAGCAGCTGAGTGTAAACAGTTGTCAATGTGATGGTTGTGCCTTGTCACCAGATCTGTAGAAACACAATATGAAAAGAATGGAGACATTGAGGGTTGTGGAGTATTTTCATCAAGGAGATTACTTTTTATTACTGTCTGTTAGAGAAACACTTGGACTCGTCATGGCGACCAATACTTCCTGTTATCAGTTTCTATTAATGCATTTCAGCCATTCAGGTTAGACATAGAAGGATTATCTGACATAAACCTTCAATGAGAATCTTCTCCTCTGTTTTGTAACCAGCAGACTCCTGACCAGCGATGACCAGATAGAAACACCAGTTAACTGGTTAGCGCTCCAGCAAACATGCAGCTTTCTGTCCTGAAACCTTCCACTGTTCTGAGGTCAGGGCCATTTTCCAACCCCAGCGTTAGCTTCCTTTCTATCCACTAACCAGGTCTGAAGGAAGACGCTGAAAAACCTGCACATAACTACTGAAAACTCAACTAACCTCCATCTGTTACCAAATATAATGCAGACTTTATCATTTTGCATTTTGATAGAAATAAAGCTGTTTTAGTCGATGCAATAATTCCCAGCGGGTCAGAGAGCGCTGCTCACTCCTCCATCAGCCATAAGGATGGATCTCTGAAGGATGGAGGAGCAAACACAGAACGGAGTCAGTCTGAATACATGCTGCCTCTGACACGTTCAACCCCACTGCTCCCAGTGGAAGAGACATGCAGGCCACTGGGAGCACTGGGAACATGCTCAGTGTGTTCCAGTACAGAGAGCAGCAGGTTGTTTAGCAGTGATCTGAGCTTCTGACCACATTCTAACAGGTCATCTGGCCAGAAAGAGGCAATCTGAGGAGCCTCGTCTGCTCTTCATTCTCAGCCCAAACTGGGAGATTAACTGGAATGTGTGGGATTACTGGCTGTGGTCTGAGAACGTCAGAACCACGGTGGTGGACATTCCTGAACCAGATGATGGATCCTTTGATCAGTTTCCTTTATGAAGGTCACCTTGAACAAAAGGATTGGGTTGGATAAGGATAATAAACTAATATAATACAGAATAATTAATAAAGTAATAAAATACTAAATATATTTAAGCTGCTCGGCCGTTTGAGAAATGTTCATCTTAGCTAGGCGGGATTAAGCTTGTTTCCATTGAGTTACTGGGAACTGAAATATGAACAGAACTACTAATGTGTCAGACCCCCCCCCCCCCCCCCGCTGAGAAGCTGAATGATTATTTCTACCTCCAGTTGAATGCCGGCTACCTCTGCGGCTCTAACAGACGTCCTGCTCAGCATTCAGAAGCTTTTCTGTGTGTTTTTCAATCCAAGCTAAGGTGGAAAATGGTAGATAAGCTTTTTCCTCAGCGTTGATGATGTCATGCTGTCAGATTTGCTTCATATATAAACCTGCAGGAATCATCCTGGTCTCACGTTTGATTAATGCAGCTTAGAGGGACCTCACAGCCTCAGCCCCCCGTAAAACTCCCCCTCTGCTTAAATTCACAGGAAAGAAGACACTCCTTCATAAGTGCGGGTTTCTGTGGAGCTGCTATCGACCTCTTGGCGGGTTTTCTGACATTATTTCCTCCATCTTTCCCGTTAGAGCAGAAACCTGTGTCTCTTTAGGAGGGCAGATGTTCTGCAGCATGTTCAGATGATGGATTGAACGGTAAACTTGCTTCTCGCTGATCGTTCTTCTGTGTTCCTTCCTAAAGAGACCCTTCAGTGAAATGTAACGATGATCTTTACACAGTTGTTTATTGGCTGTGGATGTGAAAAGGTTCTCAGTGGTTTCTGCTGCAGGATCCCAGCGCTGCTTCTTCACACAATCCTGTTCATCGGTCTCAATGTTCTACCAAACATATCTGGATCTGCGTTGGTTCTCTGTGAGGACAGACATGTTCTCCTCAGATTGTGCATTTCTGACCCGTGGAGTCCCTCAGGGCTCGGTTCTAGGAGCTCAGCCATATTTACACAGCAAGTCCGTCTGAAGGCTCAGAGTTCGGTGTCTAAAAGTGACCGGACCAATCACAGAGCGGGAGGGGATTTTAAACTTGCCTCATCGTTACCAGCACTTCTCTATAGCCATAACAGTTCAGACTTCAGGTGCAAAGGAGGGAGCCTGGTTCTGCTGGAGGTTTCTTCCTGTTCAAAGGGAGTTTTTCCTCTCCACTGTCGCTACAAGCATGCTTAGTGTGAGGGATTGCTGAAGAGTCAATGAGTCGATGCAATCAGCTGGTTTTCCTTAGATAGAAAACTTTGAATCAATCTGACTGGATGATCTGGTTGATGTGGATCTATAAAGTGACCTAAGATGATATGATGTGAATTGGAGCTATAGAAATAAACTGAATAGAATTGATTTTCTCCAACTCTATGGACTTCACTGAAGATTTATATAAAGATGAAATCCGGTCGGTAAAGTGAGCCGAATGTTTCCTCCCTCATCCAGTCCTTGGATGAAACATCAGCGTCTCATTGGTGCTTCAGGTCATAATCAGCCATATTTAGGCCTCTCCTATAAAATCCCAATAAATAAGGTTCCAGTCGGTGGTTGAAGTGTGTCTTATGAACAGATTGAGGATTTAGGAGTTCTTCTTCAAGGCGATGCAGGCTGATGCAGTCAGTCTTTACACCCTCCACCCTTCAGTCTATCCTAGACCTCGTTACCAACACAGACACCAACCCAGTCACAGTTCAAACCCAGGATTAATTCTCTCAACAGCCAGAAAATTGCTTTGAGTTGCTGCTAGGGTTTTAGTTCTGGGAGGACGAATAGCTTTTTCACTCCTGAAGGCTGGCTGCCCTCCACATGGACAGCAGTCCAAAAGCAGAGGACCAAAGCATGCTTTGCCCAAGAGTCTCCGTCTCTGGCAGAAAGCAGCACTGCTCAGAAATAGATGAAGAAAGGAACTTTGTCAGAAGAGGATATTTAGATGCGATATTTTCTGCTCCTGGCTGCCGTCAGCAGCTCTGCAATGTGAGGAAGAACAATCCCAGTGTGAGAATGTGATTGTGACCCTGAGAAACATGGAGCTGATCCGTCTATTTGGACTTCCTTGGTCGGCACCCTGTGGTCCTGGCAGGATGCTAATGCTGCTGGCTGCTGGCACCGAACACATAGACTTGATACAGTCTGACTATTGCTTTTTATTCCTCCACTCAGTTTGGTTTCATAGTTAGCTTAGTAAACAGCCACAAAGCCTGTAGTGCACCTCCCTGTTGGGTCTGAGGAGGAGTTTAGCAGAGAAAACCTGCTGGCACGCATGAATCTGCTGCCACCGATCTAAATAACCCTGTTGTGACTGAGTTCTGGGCAAACACAGCTTCATAGCCCACACAGCGGAGGGCTGGGAACGCTTCAGTTTAAAGGAATGGGATCTGTCAGCAGGAGAAATCGATTTTATGCTTTTAAAGTGGATTAAACCAAACAGGACCCCGATCATCCATTCAGTTCCATCCAAACCCAAACAGCTTTCCTGACAGACAATGCAGCAATTAAGCAATTAGGAGTTAGTTACTATAACTTTCACCTTTAATCAACATGAAGAGCTTCTCATCCACAAAACTATTTTCAGCTTTTAACAAAACCCCTCAGAGAACCGTCTGTTCCTCCATCTACGCTGGATTTAAGAACAGATCAGAGTTTTAGCAGCAGAGTCACCACAGTCCCATTGATTAAAGAGTCCACCGCTGCTCCACCATTAAACCCTGATGACGATACTAAAGACAATCCAGAAAATGATTGGGTTTATTTCTAGAATCCCCTTTGATCAGAGAATACATGTTAAAATAGAAACACTATTAAAATCTCTGCAGCTGGTTAGTTAACTGCAGTTAATGCAGCAGAAGAGGAAGGTTTATCTGAACAAGGTGAACGAAAACTAAGCTGAAGTGAGTTATGTTTTTAGGTGAATTAACAACAAGCCATATGAAAAAGGAATTAGAATATTAAAGCTCACTTCAGGGGAAGGACTGAAGATGGATGCTGCCTTAAATCAAATATATATCTACTGGAGATAAATAATATATCCGTCCTTCAGAGAGTTAATCCTGCATCAGGAAACTGCAGCAGTTAAAGGTTTCTGTTGAAGGATCTGATAGAACTGCGTTCATTGATATTTCATTGCTTTCTGCATCAAGTTGCTTCATCATTTCTACAACGAAATGTTTGATCAGATCTAAGATTCGCTCATTGAAAGAACAGGAAGTCCTTTCCTAGTCTGACAGAACGGTTCCCTGCATCAGCATCTGGAACATCAGTCACACATAAATATTTATTCACACTAAAGCCAAAGACAACAGACGTAAACTACTGTGGAATGAATCTGCAGAGATAAAACGGTTGATCTGGTTTCCATTTGGATCCATTTTCTGCAGCGGAAACAACGTCTGGAAGGATGATGACATTAGCAGCATTTCCCTCCTACTCGTCTTTTTAGGAAAAATAAATCCGTCTGCCTTCGGTTGGCTTAGAGATTGATGAGCAGACGCTGTGTGTCCGTCCTAAGAGACACGCAGCAGTCCGAACACACTGTCTCAGCCAGGACCCCCTGCTGACCGACTCAATCATCACCACAGTGCACCTTCACTGAGATCTCCACCATATGGCAGGTCTGAGATAAATCAGAAAGCAGGCATTCAGCAGAAGCTATCAGCAATGCCTTCAGGGGGAATGGTCTTTGTTTAGGACGCTAGGATCCGTCTGTAGGGACAGAAAAAGTGTTCATCTGCAGAGCAAACAGATTCTCTGGGTAAGTCAACAACAAACAAACTGAATAATGAGGCAGCGTGCCCCACTTGGTGGGTTCAAACCCTAAATATTGAATAACTCCAGTCCCACAGCTGAATGTTAAACAGCTCTAATAGCATGCACACGTTCTCCTTCTATTAGCAGCATCCCCAGTTTTATAGGTCACCATGACAAAAACCCAGCCTGGCTTCTAGATACAGAATGGAGGATGAGGGAGGCAGGATGAGGGAGGCAGGATGAGGGAGGCAGAGACTGGATGAGGGAAGGAGAGACTGGATGAGGGAGGCAGGATGAGGGA